AGATTAAATCCCCACTATCGTAAAACCAGCCCCTAACCACAAGCAGCTTGACACCATTCTTCTTACCTTTGCAAGTCTCGGCTATTTCATCAAATATCTGGACCAAGTCAACCTGAACAATGCCTTTGTGTCGGGGATGAAAGAGGACCTAGGCCTCTATGGCTTGGAGCTCAACTACGCCCAGACCGCTTGGACGGTGGGCTACGTGATAGGAGAGATCCCGAGGTAAGCTCATTGCCAGCAAAAACACGTAACAGGTCGTCATGTGCTCATCATTTGTCCAGCAACATCTTACTCACCCGCGTTCGGCCGTCCATCTGGATCCCAGCGTGTGAGGTAACATGGTCTGTCTTGACCATCCTCCTTGCCAAATGCAACACCACTACTCAGCTTTACGTCCTCAGGTTCTTCATAGGCCTCGCCGAAAGTGCCTTTTACCCGGGGATGCAGTATATCATTGGCTCATGGTACCGCAAGGACGAGCTGGCCAAGCGGTCGTGCATATTTCATGCTGCCGGTGGCATCGGTTCTATGTTCTCGGGCTATCTAATGGCGGCCGCCTACAATCTCAATGGTGTAAGCAGCTTCAAGGGCTGGCAGTGGCTTTTCATCATCGACACGGTCATCTCGCTTCCCATTGCCGTCGCTGGCTTCTTTTTCCTTCCCGACGTGCCCGAGATTACGCGGGCCTTCTATCTCACCAAGGACGACATTGTGCTCGCGCAGAAGCGGATGCAGCTGGAGGGCCGCGCAAATCGGGCTCCCTACACGAAGGCGAAGTTCAAGAAAATCTTCACGGGCTGGCACATTTACCTCCTGACGGCGCTCTACATCTTCTTCAACAACGGCGGCGGAGTCAGCACCCAGCCTGCCTTCCAGATCTGGCTCAAGCAGAAGGGGTACCCTGTCTCTGCCATCAACACGTATCCGACCATAACTAGTGCAATAGGGGTGGTGATGACACTCGTCTATGCGTGGACCTCGGACACCATCTTCAAGGGCGAGAGATGGCAGCCCATTGTGTTTTCAGGTCTGGTCAACATCATCGTAAACGCTAGTCTCACTGCCTGGTTCATTCCCGACGGATGGAAATGGGCGTGCTTCTTCCTGGCTGGCTTCTCTGGCGGAATCAGCGGGCTCACATTTGCTTGGGCGCACGAGATTTGCTCCGACGACAATGAGGAGAGGAGTCTCGTTATTGGAACCATGAATTCAATGGCATATGTGGTTCAGGCGTGGCTTCCACTACTGGTTTGGCAGCAGCCCGAGGCCCCGAGCTATCCCAAGGGCTATCCCACTATGATTGCGGTTGCAGTTGGGTTGATTAGCACGGCCATGGTGATTCGCGTCCTTCATAACCGCGAAAAGGCCAGGAAGCTAGAGCCAGTATCTCCATAGCGGTCCCTGGAGGAGCAGCCTACATTGGGGCAGGAGAGGTGGCAAATCCGATTCTAGAACTCGGCCATCGGGGCAACGGCATGGCCGGGGGATTCTTTCTGTGCATGAGACCCCCCCGTCAGATACTTGTCTTCGGAGTTAAAGTACCTCTAGTCAGGTCTGGCCGTCAGAAACTAGACGCGCCAGTCAACTGTCCAGCATTAATGGAGTCTAGCCCCCAAAATAGATGTCAACACATCTCGCCACTTTCAAGATCACACAATGAGCTCCGAAGTGACGTGCCAAGGCGTGCGTGCGGCAACCTAAAAATTAGCCAGAATGGAATGATCAGAACCAACAAGTATGATGCTGTTCGTGTGCGGAGTTACTGAGGAGTCCGGCGTTACTAGAGTCGACACGATGTGTGGTCACTCGCGCCATCCGGACCGCTGCATGACGTGCTTGTGTTAGTGAGGGGCGCCAGGTAGCTCTTGGTAAGCAACACATACCAAATGAGTACTATCCGACGCGAAGGAACGAAGAATTGGGCGCGACTTCCAGCTTCATCTCGGTATCCCGTTTCCTTTCGCGGGGGTCACATACCCAGCTAAAGACGCGACGCCCCCGTTGGCTTTGTCCGGATCTATCTCCCTGTTTTTCTTTTTCTCGCCACCAACCAACTGAATAATTGATTTCATCCCCACACCCACCAACAAATAAGCCCCCAATGAGCTCGGACACCTCCTCACCCGTCAATCAAGATCCCCGTTTCGGCGTCGGCCGGACGGTGGCAGTAATCGGCGCTGGGATTTCCGGTGTCTGTGCTGCGGCCCATCTGTTGAAACACGGGCTTCAAGTGACTGTCTTTGAGCGGTCCAGCTTTGCCGGCGGAGTGTGGCACTTTGATGAGCTTGTGCCGAACGATCCCCCTTACCCTAATAACCTGCCGTCGTCGGGAGATTACAATGTCTCCAAGCCAGGCGAGTTTGCCTACTCGACACCTCCGCCAGAGCCCCACGACGATGGGGGTGATGGCGGTGCCCTTAGCTCGGCCACTGGCAGCAAGGACATTGTCGAGCTGGAAGTGAGCTTCTCTCCTCCGGGACCAGCCTATGCCGGCCTGAAGAACAACATCCCGACCAACATCCTCGTTAGTAGCTTGGGCCCCTGGCCAGAGGGAACAGAGCCCATTGTTGGCCAGAGCGTCGTTGAGGAATACATCCAGACGCTGGCAAGAAACAATGGCGTGGACAATATCACGCATTTCCACGCCCGGGTTGAAGAGGCAAGGAAAACGCCGACTGGTGTCTGGGAAATCCGCTCCGTCTCGCTCGAAAAGGGGGAATCTGGACCTCGGCTGGTCGAAAGACTCTCGTACTTTGACCTGCTGGTTGTGGCATCGGGGCACTACGGCATGCCACGGGTACCCGACATTCCAGGGCTGAAGGAGTGGAAATCTGCCTTTCCCAGCCGAGTCAGTCACTCTAAGCAGTATCGGCGCCCCAACAAGTACCAAGGGCGGAACTTGCTCGTGGTGGGAGCTGGCGTGTCCTCCCTGGATATCTGCAAGGAGCTGAGTAGCTTCGCCAACAAGATTTATCAGAGCGTTCGCGGGGGCACCTATGACACGCCGGCGTCGATGCTCCCGCCAAATGCGCTTCGCGTGGGCCCCCCAGCGAGATTCGACCTGCAAGAGAAGCGGCGGGAAGGTCAACAGACTCTAGGGTCCGTTGTCTTGGCAGATGGCCAAGTCTTGGACGATATAACCGATGTGATCCTCGCCACAGGATACGTCACATCGTATCCCTTCCTACCCCAGTTCCACTCAGACACGGCATCCATCACCGAGGCCGGAGAGAGCCTGATCGTCACATCAGGCGGCGATATGGCACATAATCTGCACCGAGACATATTCTACATCAACGACCCGACACTAGCGTTTGTGGGAGTTCCGTACTACGTGTCAACATTTTCCCTGTTCGACTACCAAAGCCAGGCTTTGGCTAGAGCCTTTGCCGGTAAGGCACGTCTCCCATCAAGAGAAGAGATGCGTGCCGAGTATGAAGATCGGGTGAAGCAAAAGGGACTGGGCCGTACATTCCACGCCCTGAATCAGCCTGGCCACGAGTACCAATATGTCAAAAACCTCGTCGACTGGGTCAATGAGGATGGCGATAAGCTTGGCGAGACGCCAATGTATGTGCCAACGGAGGGGTGGATTAGCGATTTCGACGAGTTCAAGGCCAAGATCTTCAAGGCACGGGCAGCAGGGACGTCGGCACCGGAGGCGGATAGTACGGTTCTCACGACTTGAAAACTCATAATGAAATATATTCTGCTATAATGATCAAAAATGAAGCTCAGTTTTATCAACATCGACCCTTTGTGATATGCGAGCATCAGAATTCCTGCCTTCCTACTAGTCTCAAGGTAGTGGAGGTTACAGTTCAACAGGGGTAAAAAGTCGAGCAGTAGGTGTCCCAGAGGCTCACTAGCTCACTACTTTATTTATCTAACGGGTCTAACAAAATTGAACAGATCCATGGAAATATATGATAGGGGCAGAGAGATTCTGCCCCTATTCAACTGTTTGTAGGTTTTGGCCTTTCTACCTACCCCTCTTGAACTTTTCCCTGCATACTCCGTTTGAGCTGTAACCTGGAGGGATTGAGGTACCCACCCACTCACCGAAATCTCCTAAGGTAGCAAGCAGATCTGATGTTTTACAGTAAGGGAACTTACATCAAGTTTTACTGCATTCGCATCCCCAAGCACTGGGCAGAGTGGCCCCTTTCGCTTAGTACCAAGACTTGATACTACCTCTCAATCGCATAGATCAACATGAGAAGGCTGTGTTTGATTTTCATATCCGTTTAATAGACTCTATATAATATTGCAACATGAAGTAACTCCTTAAATCTATAGCAACTTATCTTTGGAGAGACTATACCAAGGGTTGATGAGAGTTGATAAGCAACAAACTTATGCCGGGGTCAATCATACTCAACGCTTCACCATTTGATGGAATAATGGTCACCTATACGAGTTTCTCGCCCTCGGCTACAGCGAGAACTTTCCTCTCTGGGTCCCCATCAAGGCGGCCCGGCTCAGGCAGTGGGCGGTCCTCGTGGCATCTCTGGTGTACCCCCTGAGCTTCATTGTCGTGCCCACTCTGATGGTCGCGGCATGGACGCTACACAGGACATTGGATTCCGTAGAGATTAGGGTCAATGAACCCCAGGTCCGCGCCCTATAGGTGGTGAATGGCAGTACGACCCTGCCGAGCTTCATTTTCTTCTTTCTCTTGTTGATGAGAAGGTCCGGCTTGTTGGCAGATGTTTTGACCATCGAGAATTTCGCCCGCATGATTGCCGATAGCCTGGTTCTATTACAGCTTCTCCAGAAGATACCTTCTTACGAACGGACCAAGACGATAAAAGCCTCGCTATCGCAGTGGCGCTTTCGCTGCGCTGTGTCAAAAAGGAGTATCCGGGGGCGGCAGGAAGCACATTGTCTGCAGAGCTTGTCGCTGTTTCTCATCGCCACGCCAGCCAAGACGTCTGACAAGATACTAGGGCAACAACAATTGAAAAACTGCAAAAGGCCAAAAAAGGCATTGTCTTGACCATGTCTGGGAATCGAACCCAGGCCCCGCGCACTCCAGAAGGAGTCTAGTAGTCGTTTCCGATTATTTCGACGTGCCCGATACTCACCACTGTACTAACATGGCCACTTTAGTTTGTGAAAGATTACGCACGAGAAGTTTCATATGTTGTCACCTGGTTGCAGGCTAGGAATGGAACGCATACCCCCCAACCCCATTTGGTATCTATGGGGCAGAAAATTTGTGTTCATTGAGGTCTGCATGAACAGGGTACTCGGCTTGAACCCGACGGCCCTGCAACTCTGCGTGACGAGCATACCCCCCACCAACGCGATCGCGTGCCAGGGCGTACAGTGAACTATGGCCACCGTGACCATTTAGCCATTCTGGCCCTTGTCCTCCAACCGCCTGAGACGAAGTCGGCCGATTATGCATTATCCCGGCCTGGTGGAAACCAGATATACATCTAGGGCGACTCTTCTTCTCCTAGTGCAGTCTATCCGCTATTGCGGAGTTCTCTTGCTGTTTGTCGTGGTATTCATGACCCTGATGCGCCAAATTATGACTCTCTTCAGCAGGCTTCTTACTTTCTTGGCTTTTGCCACGATTGAAAACAAGGCCACCATGCGAGACTCAGGCATTCGGAACAAGACTTTCGTCAAGGGACTCATAAACCTACAGGTCGTCTCTCCTACTGCAGGCGCCCTGTCCGCTATCACGTTTCTCAGCGTCCTCTATTCCTAACGGACCCGCACCTTCATGCCCAGAAAGCCGACAGCCATCGTCTCCAAGCTGTTGTACTTTTGCAACAGCGACACTCTTCTGGCTGAAATACGAGCCTCGCCCCCTCAGTCTTCATCTCCAGATGAGCCGGTTGCGGGTTATTATTCGTTTGGATGGTTCCAGCATCAAGGCGAAGATGGTAATAGATGGTTCACTGGAGTAGAGCGAAGACTCGATACGCTGACTGTCCCGTACCAGTTTGGCGAGACAGAGCCGAGTGCCGAAAGTCTCTTCACATGGGGGTGGCTGGAACAAGAACGTGTGGAGGGTATTGATCGCAGGGTGAAAAGAGGCTAATGAGACAGTACTAGTACGTCACTACATTTATGTTCGAACGACCATGGAAATAAGGGGCAGGAAAGGAGATTTCGACGCGTCAAAAAGGGAAGTTTAAGGGGGTCTCAAATTATTTATCACGCATAAAGACTACCAGATAAGGCCTCCCTATAATCCAATGAGGTATGCTTAGCTATTTATCAAGGGGCAGTATTTTACTGGAGGCCATAAATTATCTAAAGTACACCGTACTTCAATTCACTCACTAACATGTAAAGTTCCCCGGTGGAGGTATACAAATGTCTAAAAGAAAGTATCAGTAGGGTTAATGCTAGATCCATAGCAAAAATATTGAGGACGAGGACTATATACTCGATTATAATGAACAAACGCGTGATTAACCTCATGTAATTACCACACACATCCCTGAAATGCAATATAAACCTTACAGAAGGTTGGGAGCTTAGTAGTGGAGCAAAACGGCAAGAACATACAACACCAGGGATTCGCTGGTGGTCACCCACCCAACTACTAGTCTGGCGGTCACTAGCTTATCTATGGGAGAGCGGACGGGATCCCGAGTTCTCCAGTGCCTATGGTTGTATGTGATAGTTGAAGGCCCTCTTCGAGGTTATGCGTGCCCTCGTTTATGTGGAGGCCCATTTACGGCCCACCAACTCAAAGCCAAAACGAGTGGTGACCACTCAAAATAGACAATCGCGACCGATCATGTGACTTCGTTATTTTAAGCAGTGCAGAGAGAGACAATGTGACAACTTCAAGGTCTCCACAACAACCGAAAGGCCGACTCGGACAAAGACCAACCCCAAGCTATGCTGCGGCCACCAGAAAGTCTTTGTCAGTTTGCAGGACCCCTTTGTCCTCGATTTTCTGCTTCACATCTCAAGGCGAAGTAACCAAGAGGCGTGGACACTCCCTCGTCGTCGTACGTTCCATATTTTCATTAAGCGCCTACACTCGACTCAGCATTGGGTAATTAGTTGGCCGGCAAACTTGCTCGATAAAGACCGCGGATATATACTTTGACGCCAGTAGATCTCTTTCTTTTTTTTCTTTTTCTTGGTCCTCGACGCCGACTCAGGTCTATCAGAACTCTTTCCTCTAGAGAAACCCAATTTCTTCACCCCGCGAGCTTGCTTCTTCACCACTCCTGCCGTATTCATTACTTCTGAGAAGTAAAAACTCATTTGTACCGCGGTACACTACAACTCACAAACCGACATACGGAAAGGTCATTCAGCTTTTCGCAAATGGCAAAGGACACGGACAACGAACGGGAAGTTCGGTTCTTTACCCCCATACCCGATGGCTACGTGTTTGTTCCGAAAGGAGACGTTTATGTCACTAAGAACTGCCGTAAAAGAACACATGAAGCAAACATGGTTCTTTACGTCGTCGTCAGCAAAACGGGAAAGACCCTGGGCCTACGGTGTCCGCGACAGATCTTTGAAGCAGTTCAAGAAGACAACAAAGCCACGGCCAGCAAGCGAGCGACAGCTGTGCAGAAACGAGATGCTGCTTTGGAAGGAAATTTTGAGGAGGCAATAATGGAGCACTTCCCAAATACGCCAAAAGAAGAGGTCTCCAGGATTATAAAGCAGGCGTTACAGAAACACAGCCGGCGGGTTGGACGGACTGGCAAGGTGGAGGTGCGCGAAAAAGTTATGCTTGCCGTGCGCGCCCACATCCGCCATCGCCATACCGAGTACGACCAGTTACTTCGTGGCGGTGTAGGCCGGGAAGAAGCGAGAAGAAGAATCCTTAGCAAGCTCAATGAGGTTGCGAGAAGCTGGGGTGGACGTTCACAAACCGCGAACGACAGACTAGCTAGCGGAAACCCGAGAAGTCACAAGGCCAGGCGCCCCAAGGCAAGAGAGATCAAGCTGAGAAGCGGCAAAACGATAGTCCCCGGAAGTGGCCGAAGCGAAAACTCCAGACCGAGAGTCTTTACCGCAAGAGCTCAGGTCGTGAAGCCGGCTTATGACGGGCCAGCATCCGCCGTTGGAAAGCGGTCTCGGGTGATTGCGGAAGCGAAGAAAGCCGTGCCCGTGATTGTTTTGGACGATTCGGAGCCGTCGGAGGACGAGGGGGGATTCATTGATGATGAAAACTTCATTGTTGATGACGAAAGCCTGATTTTTGACAGCGACATCGACAGCGACTGGAGCGACGACGATTGAGAAATCAGGCGAGAGACACGAGTGTTCCCATTCCGTGTGCATAAGCTACAGTTATGCAGTTGGGAGTGCCTTCTGGGGACAAAAAGTAAAGCCAGGAGAGGAGAGATGAAGGATTCCCTACAATTACGCAGAGGCATGGATTCGATATGTCTGTCCGAGGAATCATGAGCGTGGGCCAGCGAGGGCAGGAATATGACCCCCCTGTCAAAGGAAGTCCATTTGATGACAAGCTGACGGAAAAGAACCCCAAAAAAACCGGCCCGGATGGCGGCGCCACCTTCACCGGACCTAGCTGGGGCAGGTTCTCACGCGTCAAACCGCTAATGGACCTTGAGCTTTGCTGTCGGGTGTTGACTTCTGTCTCATGGAGCTCCGGGTGAATTCCCAATGACTCCTGGGCAGGTGCACTGACATTGTCGGTGGATGCTAAATACAGACTGGTTGTGGTTATGTAACGAGGTTCAGACCGCCTGTAGACGGTGTTGAGTCCGCACATCCCCACCGACCTCCGGACTCCGCTCTGGGGACAGTCGGTCGGCCATCCGCATTTTCAGGCATGATTCAGCCAATTCTCTGTCAATTAGAACAATGCAAGGGATGATGTGAAGTGTAGATAAGTAACGGGGGCACCCCGCTTGGAGTCCCGAGGCCCTGGGTCTGAACAATACCTGAACTTTTTGAGCCTCACACAACATCAACGAACCTATACTGGCACGAAACAGCACGCAATGGCAGCCGAAAAGAAGCAGCAAATCTCCTTCGAGGACTACCTCGGACTCAGCGAGGCGGCCTTTGAATGGGCTGACAGCTACGACTCCAAGGACTGGGATCGGCTGAGGCAGTGCATCGCTCCAACGCTGCGTGTACGTCGCCATATTTTGGTTGTATATGTCGAGAACCGCTCACAGCTGACCCGGATTATTGTGTTAGATCGATTACCGTTCGTTCCTGAACAAGCTATGGGAGGCGATGCCGGCCGAGGACTTCATCGCCATGATCTCTGACAAGTCGGTGCTGGGTAACCCTCTGCTCCGCACGCAGCACTTCATCGGCGGTGCCAGCAAGTGGGAGAAGGTGTCCGACACCGAGGTGATTGGTTACCACCAGCTTCGCGTACCGCACCAGGTGTATACCGACGCCAGCCTGAAGACAGTATCAGTCAAAGGCCACGCCCATAGCCACAACACGCACTACTACAAGAAGTGCGACGGCGTGTGGAAGTTTGCGGGCCTCAACCCCGCCATCCGATGGTACGAGTACGACTTTGACAAGGTGTTTGCGAGCGGCCGCGACAGCTTTGGCGATGAGCACAACTAGGTGCCTCTTAGTTTGGTGAACGGTCCGATCTCTAACACACGACGAGGAGTGGCGAGAAGTGCTTCAATTGCGTTGACTGGCCCATGGCAACGACTAGCAGGAGTTCAAGGGCTGGGGATCCATCGAAACAGTGTAGTGACAGCGGGAATATCACTCTATACATTATACGGAAAGTTCTGGGAGGTATTGAATAGAAAAAACTTTGTGGCTGTGAACTGTGTGAGTTGTTCATGTGTTATTTGTCATGTTGTGTAATAATGTGATGGTAAACTGTAGTGATGTACTGACACAGCTCCCATTGACATCTGGGAAACCAAGGTTGGCAGGCACTGACAGCCCGCCGCTAAGATACAAGCGAAGTTGGTGGTGATTGGCTGTGATGAGCCCCCCAGTGGAGCCTCACAACGCTCAAGTTTCCCAAGTTGTGCACTCTTCCCTGTCCCCCGTTTAGACGGGGGAAGCAAACCACTTTCGAAACTTCAAGTTCAGTATTCGTCCTCAGCATTCCGCCCCCTAATGACCCGCTACAGGTAGCACTAGCGAGCTAGC